ATGCCATTTCCGAGCCCCCCAAACCCAAAAGCAAACCCTCATTCGGGGTTTGCTGTTGGCCATTTTGCGGCTCCCCCCGCCTGAAAAGCAAACCCCCCTTCTCGAGCCGAGATGGGGGGTTTGCTTTTGGCTATTTTCAGACCCCTAAACCCTCAACCCTAAGCCTCCCCTCCCTTCAACCGTAACCTCAGGGCCGGAAACCCTCGTTTGGAGTTTTTTTGGGTGGGTTTAGGTTAGATTTAGTCCAACACCCTTCCCGCGCAATGCACTCCCCCAAACCCTAGCCGGGCCTCTCTCCCAGACCATATTTTTTTCCCCAGCCCGAACCGGATCACTACCAGCACAGGTTTTCACAGGTTTTCACAGATCTTCACAGAACTTCACAGATTTTCACAGATCTTCACAGATCATTCTGTGAAGATCTGTGAAAATCTGTGAAGATCTGTGAAAACCTGTGAAAACCTGTGAAAAGCCCCGAACTCTAAACCCCAAAACCCCTGACTCCAGGCCGAGCTTCTCATCACGGCTGGCAGCCAAGGGTTTTTTTGGGGTGGGGGGGGTCGGGGTTGGGCTCAGGCCTTATTTACAGTTTTAGGGTTGAGGGTCCAGTGTTTGGGGTTGGGGGGCTTTGGGTTTGGGGTGTAGGGTTCGGGTTTAAGGTTTGGGGTTTAGAGTTGGGGTTTTCCTCTCGGGGCTTTGAAGCCTTCACTGCCCTACACCCCTACACCCCTACACCCCTAGACCCCTATACCCCTACACCTCTCCACCCCTACCCTAGTTTAAAGCCTGGAAGTTTAAGGACCTGGAAGTTTAAGGATTAGGTGTTATGGTTGAGGGGTTTAAGGTTTAATAAAAGGGTTTAGGGCAGGGTTTAGGGTTTAGGGGTTTAGGGTTGGGGTTTAATAGATTACTCGGTGCTTCGAAGCATTGACTGAGTGGGCTCACCTAGACCCTTACACCCCTACACCCCTACACCCCTAGACCCCTACTACACGCCTAAACCCCTAGACCCCTACACCCCTACTACACCCCTAAACCCCTAGACCCCTACACCCCTACACCCCCAACCCTAGCCTGGAAGTTTAAGGATTAGGTGTTATGGTTTAGGGGTTTCAGGTTTAAGGGTTTAGGGCAGAGTTTAGGGTTTAGGGGTTTAGGGGTTTTGGGTTGAGGTTTTTTGGTTGCTTGGGGCTTTGAAGCCTTCACTGACTGGGTCACCTACACCCCGACACCCCTACACCCCTACACCCCTAGACCGCTACACCCCTACACCCCTCCACCCTTACCCTGTTTAAGGTTTAAAGGTTTAGGTGTTATGGTTGAGGGGTTTAAGGTTTTAGGGTTTAGGGCATGGTTTAGGGTTTAGGGTTTAGCCCGAAAACAAAGGACCCAGAAGACTGAACCATGACTGCCCGAAACCCTAAAGTAACCCTAAACCCCAAACCCAGTTCGTCTGCTTGGCCGGTGGCCCAAAAACCCTAAACCCCAAAGCCTGAAACAAACCCAAACAGTATGTTTGAATAAAAACAATAATAATAAGACAGAATATAATAAAAAAATATGAGGTGCTCACTGTCTGGGTTGCACAAATCCAGAGATTGAGCACTTCATATAACTATATGCACAACACATGTGTATAAACTGTATCGACGAAATGAGCTTGCAGCTCCAAGGTCCCGACATGCCGCTCAGCCTCTACAGTTTGGAGCCAGCTCTCCAGTGCATAGTGCTTTCATGTACATAGGAATTTGTTTTGCTGGCTCAAGACTTGCAAGGTCCAGACATGCCGCTCAGCCTCTACATTTTGACCGGGTCTGGAGCCAGCTCTCGAGTGCATACTGCTTTCATGTACATAGGGTTTGTTTTGCATGGCTCAAGACTTGTGAAGCATTCTGGCTGAAGCACTTCTGGCTCAAAGTTTCACAGTGGCCTTTTGCCCTTTGCAGTTTTGTGGGCCGGGATGAAGAAACCCGCTTCGTTCGTCTCCAAGGCCTTCGGCAAGATGCCGAAAACAGTCAAGGACCCCAAGAGTGTCAAGAAGGCTGCAGAGAAGAAGCAGACAGAGCCTGAACGCGAGGCTTCGGAGCTTGACCTGGTGGTTTCGGAGCCTGAAGTCCAGAAGAAGCCCAGCCTCAAGGAGGGGGACTTTGCCTTGGTCGCCTGCGAGGGGCTCCAAAGCAAGCTTGACCGCTTGAGGGAGTCGACGAGGGGCTTGGAGCTGCAGGAGACCGAGGGCCCCTTCAAGAAGTTTTTCGACGGCCTGAGCAACAAAGAGAGGCTTCAGATGTGACATGGTCTTTTTGTCATGTAGAGATGTGACCTCTTTTTTTGTTGATGCCGGATTGTGCAGTGACAGGTGGTCGCTCTGGAAGCAGTTCGAAAACGATCGGGCTGCCTTGGATGGAGACCGAGGAAAGAAAGTTCAGGAGGACTACAGCAGCATCCGGGGCCCAGGGTCCGACTCAAAGAAGAAGAAGCTCCTCAAGGCCTACCTAGTCGGAGGAGGCTTCAAGGACGTGTACTTTTCAGTGTCTGCCACCTTCTCGAAGACAAGAGAGCAGGAGGAGGAGACCAGCTACGTGCCTTGGAAGAAGGCCGTGGACTACTACGGACTCTCGGAGCTCAAGGCAAGGATCCTTTCAGGATCTTTGCTGGCGAGACGGTGTCCCAGAGACCCCCGTTTCTGGGAAGTGGGCAAGGAAGTGTCCACGAGCAGGGACAAGTCTCGCTTTGACTTCCAGACGACGGGGCATGCAGCCTCGTCCAAGGCCAAGACCCTGAACGACTTCAAGCAGTTCGTGGACGATGGCCGGACCCAAAGCTTGAGGAACATGGGAATGGAGGGTTTGGACTTCGAAGAGTCGGAAGGCAGTGACAAGGAGGCCGACACTGGCATGGACCCCGGCTTGAAGAAGTTGCTGGGCATCAAAGATGCCCCCAAGGAGAAGGACCCTTTGGAAGCTCTTGAGACGGCCTCCGCCGCTGTGTCTCAGAAGGCCTCGGACAGGCACAGCCACTCGAAGGTGAAGGCAGCCCTCAGTGTGACCAATGCTGCCATGACCAAGTTGGAGACGAAGATCTCTGACATGAGTTGCTCGCTGAAGGAGAAGCTCTCCATGAATGCCATGCTCAAGGATCTGAAGAAGAACTGGCTTGACTTGCAGACTGCCTCCCAGGAGAAGGTCCTCAAGAATGCCAGCAAGAAGTGTGTGACTTTGGCTGATCTCTTGAAGAA